ACGAGAAGTAATATTGCAGGAAGCACAATCTTAACATTCTTCATGACTTTGAAGGCTCATACTTCTGTAAATAACTATTTTTAGACAGTGGGATTAGGAACACATTTTGAATATGTGTAGGTAATCATATTAAGGCCATAAAATAAGCATGTCAAATTTTGGTAGAGATACAGTTAAAAATGAGCTAACTAAACAAGCGGGACTAGAACTTGAACTACATGTACAATCAAGGTTTAAAATAACTAGAACAAAAATTGACTAGCAAGAGAACCAAAACTGGAAGAAACAAGGAAAGGGAACTAGTACTAAAACTAGAGCTAGAAACAAGGGAAGAAAGTAACTGGAACTAGAACTAGGACAAGAAAAGAGATAGCATAAAGATATAACTAGAACTGGAACAAGAAATAAGGTATTTTAAAAACTAGAACTAGAACAGTAACTAGAACAAGAAATAAGGTACTTAAAAAACTAGAACTAGGACTAGAAAGGACATACCAAAAGAACTATAACCACAACTAGAGCAAGAAAAAGTTTTTTAAAAAGCTAGAACTAGACCTAGAATTAGATGTATTACTATTACTAAAACTATAATCAGAACAGAAATAATGACTCTATACTGAAATACTGCCTCACATCTACACGTGTACAAATTAACCTGCAACGTACCTGAGCAACAAGCTTTCTAATTCTAATTTTTAGCATTGGTTGACCTCCAAATTAAGGGCACCTCCATATACTGGAAAGTGACGTTGGCCCATAGGTATCCATTTTGGAATGGTTTGACTGTAATATTACTGTTATTAATAACTTTCAAAAATTCACTTATCATAAAAACCAAAACAAATCAATTTAACTTGGAACATAACAAAACCAACTTGAAAAAACAAAAATAAAAAAAAGAAACAGTTTAAACAGCACATTCCACCTTGGAAGAAGTACCAGAACTCTTCAAGATGCATTTCCTCGCAACAAGATGGTTAACCCTTTGAAAGAGGTGAGAGATAGAACAAGTTGGCTTTAGGGTCTTTGATTGCGGTATGAGCCAGCTCATTCCTTCTCTCACTTCTTTCAGAGGTTATCTGTCTCCTTGTGTATGGAAAATGCCACTCCAGGTTTACTCTATTCCCTATTCTTTCTGCCAAGGTAGATGCGTTTTATTGTTATTATTGTTATCAATTATCAGTAGCAATAACAATAATAATTGTATTATAATTATTGATTACTAAAACAGGAACCATGAACATCATGCATGAATGAAAAAAGCATGGAACGCAGAGATATTGAGAAAATGCTATTGCATTGTTATTAATTACTGTTATTGCTATTATGATAATTATGGTTCAAAAAAACTTCATTCTTTTAACCGTTTAGCATCTTGAAATTTGAGTTGCGTGAACAGAGTTTAATGCCATTGACTTTTGTAGGAAAGTAGTTAATGCATTTCTTAGGCACAATTTCTGCCTTGTCTAGCTCTTTGCTTTCCAAAGTAAATCTCTATAGAAACGTAAAACTTACTGTCACTGAGGAACAAATGAAGCTACTTTTAGAATTTTTACAACTAGTAATGCATCGAAACAATTTTTCCATTCTTGGCAGGAATTGAAAATGTCATGCTCCAGCAATCATAGGTATGCATGTCATATTCATCATAACTACACAAACACCAATAATTACCTTTAGTCTAACATTAATGCTATCATTACAGTTCTTTTCAAACACACATCTAAACTCTAACATTTTAGTAATCATAGAATTGGTCTATAACCCTATGAAAATTATCAATTTCGTTTGTTGTTTTTGTTGAAATGGCATTAGCAACAGTTTTACTTGTGGTTTTATGAACAATTTACCCTAGCTGCAAGGTCAACTCTCATTCTAGAATAAGAATTCGTTCTTGTGTCACTTTTTTAGTTTCACAATTAAGATAGTTCATGAGAATCTTCGGATATCAATAGAGTTTTGTCATATAGCCTTTTTATTTGCTCCGACTCAATTGTCTGTTTATTAATCTATACAGCTGAATAATAATT